TGTCTTTGGGAGTGTCGGCACTCCCAACATCATGGCGATCACTCCACTGTTATCCCAACTGAAGCGGTGATAACTTATGTGCGCTTGAGAGAAGACGAACGATAGGTGATCATATTGATAAATAGTCAATTTATGTTTGCTAGTGCGCATTCCCAGACGACGAGCCCAAATGACTAACCCACGCGCAGGAAAAACCAATGTATGGAATGCAATAAACGATGTTAGTCTGTTGCTTTTGAGCGAGGAAGTCTTAACAGGAGATAACATTATGTCCAAGAATGCCGGTTTGCATCTAAGTGGATATTTAACTAATTTAGCAGTCCAGTAATCGCTCAATATTTTTCGCATGTACAATAGAGGGAATAATGTCTGCAGTAAAATTTCTCCAGTAGCTCTAGGGCACTGTGGCTATCTGATATCTGAGGTCGTCTTTTACAAGACTGATTGGATATCCGTTAGACCTTCATCTCTTTCTTAATCAGATTGTCTCTGCCGCAGTGACGAAAGGCCCTTTCGATGAGAATTAAAACGGCTTGTTTTGAGAGTTGCAGGATGATTGCCTCCGCAATTTAGGGTGGATTAGATATTAGATTCTTTTCCTACGGACATTGTGTGGCTACCGTCAGTTAGTACTTGTATGCTCACATCCAGTAATGACGGGCTGTCTCCCGTTACATCTTTGAAAGCGACGTTTATGGCTTGACAGACATCATTCAGTCTCCGATGTTATCCCGTATTATCGCCATTCCCTCTGATACAAAGGCCTTATCCAATTAGCGAAGTTATACTTTTGGTTTGAGTTTAAATAGCATCCTCTTCTAGTCATCATAAGACTATTGCAGGAAGCAGTCCCTATATCGACGCTCCCATTAGCCAACTGATAACACGTACAGTCAAAATGGCAGTAAGTATACTGACAGAGACTGGTCATTTCTGAAAAATGCTTTGCTGAGAAGACAATAGAGCTTCCATGTATTATATTGCGGCATAATCCCGAGATATTTCAAACACGCCAGAATACTGGCTTTTGAATTCACTTCTTTTCGGTCGTCTGCAAAAACCTTCCTCCTTAAAAGGTGACTGCTGAACTAGTAGGCATTTTCATCACTGCCTTCCAACGCTCTTACAAATTCAAAAATATTTTGCAGGAAAAACGCTCAAAAATATTCTTCCTTGTACTCATTTGATAGCATATCATGTCTTCTTCAAATTTAACGCTCGATAAAGTGGTTTTTCAATCATAAAAGTCTCCCATTATAAACATTTCAGAAACTGTGCAATGTCCGTTCGAATAGCATCGTAGCTGTCTGTTTAATGATGTTTCTCATTGGGTATTCAATACAGTACACACTCGTCGTAACACTTTGTGACCCATATGATATTTTCTTAATGGCAAAAATAAATAAATGTTCCCAATTACACGCAAAGTATACAGTCTGGAGACTTAAAAGTCCAAAAAAATGCGGGACAGATCGAATTCAAAATTAATTGGGGACTGAAAAACATATTTAAAAACCAGAAGATACTCCTCCGCCGAGTATAAAATTTAAAGAAGACATGCTTTACTATCAAGTGAATACAAGGAATAATATTTATATGGGGGTTTCTATGATGCATATAAATTTGTTAGGACATAAAAAATCGATAGAGAAAATGTATGCAAATTAAGCTGCCATTTTTTTACCAAGTGCCATTTTCGCAGATGGCCGAGAAGAAGTGCATGCAAAAGCCAACACCTTGACGTGTATAAATTAGAGGGGAATAAGGCGCAAGGTAATCAGTTTTGCAGCTGCACAAAAGTAATCTTTCAAAATCGAAAACGCATTCCCGAATATTGATCAACATTCTCTGTGGTCGGTCACTGGCTGTATCAATTAGAGATCTGTGTCTTACACATATGATTTAAGCAAGTTACTGAAGGGATATTTTGGAGAAAACTCAATGCAATGCCACGTGAGAGTTAGTGTGGGATCCTGCCTCAGGCTAAGCAAGACTGTAGTTACACTTAAGGGTTTTTTTCTGTTCTGTTTAGTGACTTTGGCACGTAGCGTAAGTCGGCCAAAATGTCTCCAGAAAACAGGTGCACATGCAAATTCATGTCAAGTTTTTACATTTAAACTAAAGTACATCGATGTCATATAAGATACTCAGTCTGTTGTCAAACAAACATCATGTTTCCAATTCGGTGCAATGTTAATTGAAGTAAAATCATTACCCGTTTTACATACTTAGGTCTGAAATGGACATTAAGCAATGCTAGTTTAGTCCACCAGTATAACGTGCTTTCGTGTTATTCCGATGATAGTCTTTCACGCACACGAGATCCAATTGTTAATCACCCTCGTTAATTGTATTCAGAATGTACATGTGACGCACTTCTTTCTACTAGATGATTTTGAAATCTCTCGGAAAGTCTTATAAGCGCTAGTTAATTAAGCTACCAGTGTTTTTGAATATAAAAAGGTTTAAAGGATTGTCAAGACCAATTTTCTGACCCTTCGGGACTGCAAAAACCAGTTTCCAGACAAAGTGGACGTCAAGTATTTTCTTATGGACCAGAAGTAGGTACACATGGACGTGTCATTTTTAGTAGAGATATGAAGTTTACAGGAAATATCGCCGTTAAACAATGTTTCTTGATGAACACCTTCACGGGTTTCTGTCCATTTTTATTGTTGATATGCCGCACTTCGGAACACTGATTCCTTTTGAGGAAAATTAAAATGCCTCAAAGAAGACTGATTTCTAATGAAATTAACCTAACTCACCACGTTCTGAAATATGACAAGTCCTCTGCCCACTTTTACTGTCCCCTCCATTTGTGGAAGTGATGACACCGTTTTAACCTATTTCTACAGTGGATCCTTAAATATCTGTTAAGTGCACATGCATTTGGTTCAGTTTATTGAAATATAAAGCACCGTCAATTACGGCCTTCTTACTATAGGCTTCGGATGTAAATTCGATTACCATATGTCCTTTTGCTCAAAGAGCGATGCGGATCAGAATGGCAGTGGGCACTTGAGACACGACAATACATAGATACCAGGAAAGATAATTCGGCCGAATCACAATACACAATCTACAACAATTGGTTTAAGTTTTCTGATAAGCATTAAAAAACGATAGATTAACCAATGCAAACTGGGAAAATATAGAACTCGGGAGAAAAATCCCGATTCGTAAAATAAGACTATAATGTCATAAGAAAACCCAACGGT